AGGGAGCCTCGATCCAGAGGGAACAGAGGAAGGTAGAATCTCCACTGAGTAGTATCCAATCTGTCTGGGTGGGGCTGATAAAAGGAGATGGGAACAGGACTCTTGTGGTACAATAGTGAATAATTGCTATCAGGATTGACTGTGAGGGTTGGAAATGTAAAGGTAGACGTTTTGTAGCAAAAGGAGGAGAGTGGTTAACTTTGCAGTCCAGGAGTACAGGTCCCTGGGACCATCAAGGAAGAAGAGCAGAGTGTGGGACCCTATCCAGAGAAGCAGTGATACCAGAGATGGAGGCAGAGACAATGACATGGAGAGATGGAGCAGCAGAGAACTCAAGACCCAGAGAGGGTGAGGGGCTGTGTGCTGATGACTAAGGGACAGGCTTGCAGGGTATACTCTTTGGTTGTTTGAGAATGCATGGAGGGGATTGGAATCATGGCAATGAAACAATATACAATAGGATGAATGTAAAGCTAACATTTTCCCATGTAAACTATCACATAATTCATAATAAAAACTTAAATTAAAAAAAAAAAAACTGTTTGGAGAAGGGCATTTCAAAGAGAGTTCACTGAAGGCTTGTGTTAAAACACAGAAGCAGGAAAACATGAAAAACTTATAGGCATCTGCTCATAATTCAGCCTGGCTTGATCAGAGGCTATACAAGGAGGAACAGTAGTACAAAGGTGAGAAAGAATTTAGAGCCAACCAGTAGACTCCATGCAGCTAAACTTCTGAGTGTGGTCAATCAATCAGGCTTCCGGTTATTTTTTTAACACGAGAAATAAAAAGATGAAGAAAATCAGTCACCACCATAGGTATACATTTGTAACATTCTGGGTCTAGTTTCTGACTGATGAAGGTTGTTGTTGGTAAGTGCTATTGAGTCAGTTGTGACCCATAGTGACCCTGTATAGGGTTTCTGAGGAGACGCTGCTGAGTTTGAACTGCTGACCTTGCGGTTCACACCGACCTTGAGGTCAAGTACTTAGCAGTAATGTCTTAAGCCATTTCTGATCAGACTTAGGCAAAAGTGTAAAAAAAAATAACACACAACTTATTCCCCTTTCTTCACTTCTTTCCCATCCATATTTAGCCACCACCCTGGAGTACTGGTATAGTGCTTTAGAATAATGCACTGGACTGCAAGGTCAGTTGGAACCGCAAGGTTGGTGATTCAAACCCACCAGTCACTCCTCAGAAAACCTATACAGGGTCGCTAAGAGCCGGAATCAACGCTATGGCATGCAACAACTTCCACCAAGCCCGGGCTCTCAGAGCTTTATCGTCAGTCTCAGAGCGCTCACACACAGGAGCAACTGCAGGGAGTGAAAGTCATCCCAGAGAGAATGAACCTAAGTCCAATGAGATATTCTGGCAGAGGGGGAAGAAAGAAAGGCTATTCTGGCTCCCAAATCATATAAGAAAGGAAGGGCACCCTATGTGACTAAGCATAAAATACTTTAGACCATTTCCACGAGGAACTTTCTGGCTCCCTCTTTCCTCTTTCTGGGCTTTACTGGCCTAGATGATTGGCTACAATTAACAGCAGCTTTGATAGATGTTGTTGTGTTGTTGTTAGGTGCCATCAAGTCGGTACCAACTAATAGCAACCCGATGCACAACAAAACAAAACACTGCCTGGTCCTGCACCAACCTCACATTCCTTGCTACGCTTGAGCTCATTGCTGCTTACACTGTGCCAATCCATCTCATAGGGGGTCTTCGACCCTCCCATTACCCAACAGGACACCCTTCTCCTTCTCCAGGGACTGGTCCCTTCTGATAATATGTCCAAAGTATGAGAGATGAAGTCTGTCCATCCTGGCTTCCAAGGAGCATTCTGGCTGTACTTGTTCCATATAGATTAGTTCGTTCCTCTGGAAATCCATGGTACTTTTAATATTCTCCTCCAACACCATAACTCAAATACATCAATTCTTGTATGGTTTTCTTATTCACTGTCCAACTTTCACATACATTAAGAGGTTATCGAAAACACCATGGTTTGGGGCAGGCACATCTTAGTCCTCAAACTGACATCTTTGCTCTTGAACACTTTTTAAAGACGTCTTGTGCAACAGATTTGCCTAATGCAATGCATCTGTTTGAATTTTTTACTGTTGTTTTCATGAGTGTTGATAGATTATCCAAACAAAATGAAGTCTTTGACAACTTCAATCTTTTCTCCATTTATATGGATTAGGTTTATTGATCCAGTGGTGAGGACTTTTGTTTTCTTTAAACTGATTTGCAACCTATATCTTTAAGGCTGTGATCTTTGATTTTCATCAGTAAGTGTTTTAAGACCTCTTCATTATCAACAAGCAAGGTTTATCATCTGCATATCATAGGTTGTTAAATGAGTCTTTCTCCAGTCCTGATGCCACATTTTTTTTTCATATAATGCAGCTTCTCAGATTATCTGCTCAGCATACAGACTGAACAAGTATAGTGAAAGAATACAACCCTGTCGCACACCTTTTCTAATTTTAAACCATTCAGCGTTCCCTTGTTCTGTTTGCACAACTGCCTCTTGGTCTATGTACAGGTTCTTCATGGTCACAATTAAGTGTACCGGAACACTCATTCTCCACAATGCTTGTCATGATATACACAATCCAAAACCTTTGCGCAGTCAATAAAGCATAGGGAAATATCTTTTTGGCATTCTCTGCTTTCAGTCAAGACCTATCTGGCACCTGCAATGATATTCCTCATTCCACGACCTCTTCGGAATCTGGCTTGAACATCGGAAATTCTCTATCACTGTATGGTTGCAGCCATTTTGTATTAGCTTTAACAAAATTTTACTTGCATGCTATATTAATGATATTGTCTGATGATCTCCACACATTCCATTAGGTCAACTCTCTTTGGAATGGGCACAAATATGGATCATTTATAATATTCCGTTGTCTTCCAAATTTCTTGCCATAGACAAATGAGTGCCTCCAGTGCTACATCAGTTTGTTGACACATTTCAATTTTTATTCCATCAATTTCTTAGTACCTTGTTCTTTGCCAATGACTTCAATACACCTTGGACTTCTTTCTTCAGTATCATTGGCTCTTGATCATATGTTACCTCTTGAAATAGTTGAATATCGATAATTACTTTTTGGTACAGTGATTCTGTGTATTCTTTCAATCTTCCTTTGATATGTTATGCATCATTCAATATTTTGCCCATAAAATCCTTGAATATTACAAGTTGAAAATTGA